GTTTTTGGAAACAGAGCCGGAGAAATAAAGCGAGAACCTGCAAGGGTAGCGGTGCATCCTAACGATGAAAGAATGATAACATGCCAATGATAAGCTAGTTTTGGCAGTGAAATAGAATTAAAAAAACTTTCAAAAAGCACTTCAGAAGAAGCTGGTTCCATGATATATATAGTGCAGGAATAAAGAGATATTATGATATAAAATGTGATTTTATCAGACTTTATATACAGTTATCGCTTTGTATTACATGATTGCGTACCGAAGTTTCTGGGGCAATTGCAGATTGATCAAATGATAAAACACGGAATTCTTTTATATAAAATTCGCGTAAAGTCTTTCATTATCGTTGGGGCAAAAACAATCATTTGGATTACAAACAAATTCACAATAGACCAAGTAAAAAACGTGCACAGTTAAATATGCATTTTTAGCATCTGTAATACTTATCTGATATTAATTTCGGTACATATGTACTGTACATGATTAAAACGTCTGTAAATCTGTTACCAATAGCCCGGAAAAATCGCGATATTGTATTTAACCTCGATCTAGCTATTATTAGCCGTTGAATCTAAGAGCGGATTACTGGATTATGTATTAAAAAAATTTCAAGTATTAGCAAAATAAATGGTTTAGAATGTTAGAACTTAGAGTTTCTTATTTGGATTTATGTGAACCTCCTTTATCATTGCCTAAATTATTTAGGGCGTTGATATTTATCGTTATTAGGCAATTCTTTTTATAATTCTTTAAGAGTGGGGTAAAAATTTTGCATTTAATTGGGACCGTAGAAGAATTCTGTGGGAGTATGTCACATGTTGCATACAGGACACACATTCACGTGTTTGTGGTCACAAATTGACTGGCATTACTCATCCTGACGTCAACGTTAATGTTAACCTTAACTTTAATTCTGGCCAATGTTGTGTCCACAAGTCACCTGAATGTTGCGTACGTAATTTTGCAAAAAACGTAAAACACAATGCAAGCAGAATAATAATATTAGTAGATTTCGGTAGTAATAATGGATCCGGGCTGAATATTATTCGAACGAATCCCTATTTGAATTCGAATGAATTATGGATTCAAAATGGATCCGTCGGACCGAATCCAAGTCAAGTCCGAATCTTAACTAAAATTGGAGATTTATGTTAGTCATATGACTACTATTGCATAATGCAATGGGGTGTGTAACATCGGCCTAATTACAAACATAGTGCAGGTCATATAATGATGATCATTAATCAAGATTTTTTATA